CAGCTAAGCCCCCCATGGACTATGCTCCAGGGCATCTGCCCGCCTGCCCCTCCATCTTCAAGTCCCCACTGCTCCCAGGGATCCTCTTCCTCTCAAGACTTCAGGAAGCCTCCAGCCAGCCTGAATGGACCTCCTCTACCAGGCTTGGTGGAAATGCCTAGGCCACCTCCTCCAAAGTCCTCAGTCTCCCTCCAGCCTGCTGCTCTCTAAACTCCAGGCTCCTTGTCAGGTAGACACAGCTTCCTTGGCCTCTCCACCTGGATGTTTGAGAGGCATTTCATCTCAAATGAAATCTTGTCCAAAAACAGAGGGCTTGGTCCAGCCCTGGCAACTGCCCCATTCTCCTCCCCAGTGCCTCCTTCTACCACCCTTGGCCTCCTTTCTGCTCTTCCCCAAACACCAACCTATTTCCACCTTGTGGTTTTGCTCATTCCTCCTGGCTGCGCTCCCTTTACATTCTCCCATGGCTGGCTTCTTCCTGGCACCTGCATCACAGGTAAAGTATCACTTTCTCAGAGGCCTTCTCACATTCTGAACTGGGCTTTGCCTCTTGCCAAAGCCCACTGCCAGAAATGTGCACTCATCCACTGACCTAGTTATTCACCATCCTGTCCCTCCCATGAAGGCCCGAATGGCAGGGCCCACTATCTTACTCATGGCTGTGAAACTAGGGTCCAGCAGAGCCCCAAACTGTAGCAGGTACTCAGTAAATACTGAGATATGGGACTCCATTCTGTTCTGTCTGTTGTGTGACATTGGCCAGGTCATTTCCCCTACCTGGACCTCAATTCTCCAATTACAAATGAAGTGGTCGACAGCCCTGTCAAGGGCTCCTTAGCTCTGTCATACCCAGGAGACTGGATGGACCAGCCTGGGCCCCACAGGGGATACTCAGGACCTGCCCAAGCAGCCACCTGATTTCAGTGACTTCCTAGTGTTGACATGTACTCTTTCGTGAGTATTTCATGAGCACTTACAGTATGCCAGACCATTTGCCATGTCCCAGGAGCCCAAGGAGAGATTCTAAGGGACTAGAGAAGCTCTGCACATGGGCCTTCTGTGATGGGGATGAAGTAAATATTGCAAACATGGCTGGCCCTCTGCAAGAAAACTGGACCCAAGAGACATGAACCACACCAGATCACCTACCCTGTTCCAGAGCTGGTCTTGGGGCTACCTCACTGTCCTCACAATAACCCTGAGGAAATGCACTCTGAGCAACCCCAAAGCACAGAGAAGTCAAGAGACTTGGTCAAGGTCACACAGTGGGTTGTGGCTTTAAAGCCAGTTGGGATGGATTCCTGGAGTCAGGAAAGAAGTACTTCAGGTTCAGGGCCCATGGAGGGCTGCTCAGCCCCAACACCGCTGCCCTGTGTGGCACAGCCAGCAGTTCCAGGGCCTCCACCAGGGAAACAGAGACCCTCCCCTGGCTGCCATGGCCACATGTAAGCTAAGCCAGTGGGAATGGGCAACAGGGCATGAGAGGTCTCAGCTGCCCTGGAGTTTGGAGGGGGTGGGGCTTGGCCGGAGGGAAGGACCACAGGGCTTCTGTGGCCTTTAGAGTTCTTTCTGCTGGGCAGGACCAACAGGCTGGATGGGTTCTGCAGAGTCCCTTTCCACCTTCCATGGAAGATGTGGGTAAGTGGGGAGGATGTGAGCAGAACCTGGAGGGCGAGCCTGATGAACCTGGGGTAGCAGGGTGTGAGGCAGTGAGGGGCGTAGAGAAGGGGGTGTACAAGCTCTGGTAGCTCTTCCTCTTCCTGCACTGAGTCAGGGAAAGCCTGCCACAAGCAGGACACCCTGGGACACAGTGATTCCCGAGGCCACGCAGGGTGACAACAGTCTACCAAATAGGCTGGCACTCATTTCCACCTCAGGTGGCCACTGCCTGAGGCCATGTGCAGCTGAGGAGGGGGAAGCCAGGTGGGTGCCAGAGGTAAGCAGGGGCCACAGTCCTGTCCCCAGCCCCTGCTGGGTCAGCAGAGGGAGGGTCCCTCTCCCCTCTCCCCGCCCTGCCACGCCCATGGCTCCAGCTTGGAACTTTTGATGTTTACTTTGTTCTTCCCTGAGTTCAAAAGGAGCTGGGCCAGCCCTGCACCAAGCTGCCTTAATCCTTCTCACCGCTCCCAGCTGGCCAGTTAAGGCGGCTAAGACACGGGATTAGGGCCAGCTTCACAGAACAAGGCGGGAGCTAAAGCCGTCCTCTCCTGGGATAGCTAAAAGACTTCTTTTTATCTTCACGCCTCAGATGGCCTCTTCGCTCCCTTAAACGGCTCTCCTACTCAACAAGAGGCAATGAACTTGGCCAACAGGAAGACAAAGAAGACATTCAGGGCTCCACTTTTTCTCTCTCACCAGGAGCACAGAGGGATGCAGCAGCCTTGGGCCAGGCAGGTGGATGGCTGTGTGTCCAGGACTCAGTAATACCTGCCTTTCACCAACCTGCCATCCATCCATAGACACATCCCTGTCCCAATGTGGACAGCCTCAGGCCACTGCACCAAGGGCAGCCAGAGAACCAAAGGCAATCACTGGGCCCAGGTCTCTTCAGTGGGTTACAGGGACCAAATGGACAAACGGGTCCAACCACCACCTGGCTCAAACCAAAGCAGCTCCATGGCTTTAGCTTTATTTACTTACTGTTTCTAGTTTTAAAGTCTGTTACTAGTTCTTAATTTTATAAGGAATGCATGGCTCTGTTCTTCTTGGATAAGTTAAAACATTAGTTGCAGATAATACTACAGCCTTCTTTGGCCACTCTTGCTGGTTTTCATTCCCTCCCCTGACAGGAAAGAGCTAATATTCCTGTCTATGGAAGGCCTCATCCACATGATGACACACAGCTGTGGTGCTGCAGGGAAACAGAACTGTCTGGCACCCTTTATGCAAAAACAGCATCATACTGTTCATATCTCTCTAAAACCTTCCAACTATTTTACATTCTGTGCTTCTGTGCAAGCTTTTGTTGAAAGAAAGAGGCTGAAAAGTTTGACAATCGACAAGCCAGTCCAAACCCTAACTGGGCAACCATGGCAGGTTAGTGGCTCCCAAACTCTTCTCTTGTCAGTGGAGGTTCCACAGTTCTTGGACACCATCAGCAGCTGGTAAGGTGCCCAGGCTGCCATCGAAGTCTGACATGCAGCCAGTGTCAGACCAGTAGTACCAACCTCCCTACCTGTCCCCAACAAAAGCTAGCCTTCGGGCACCTCATATCTACTCTCTTCTGCCAACCAATGTTTGTAAGTGCTGCCCCCAGAGCAACGGGTTCTCCCTATGAAGTGCCTATGTCCTCCAAGTCCAGCTCCATGTTACCATTCACCATGTGACAGAGAGGGAGGCACCTGCCCAGGTTATGACAGCAAGTAGCTGTCTGCCCTGGAGAGAGCTGGGTCCACAGATCCCCTCACACCTGTTTGCAGGCAAAGACCTATTGTTTGAAGTCAGTCATGTGATTTCATACTGAGCTTTATGGACAGAAAATCTCTGAGTTTTAGTTCTAACGAGGACTCAGCAAACAACAGATAGGTGGAAAGACAGAGCAATGGATGGATGACAAATGGAAGGTGGCTGACTGGACAGGTGAGGGATGAGTATGGAACAGGTGAAGGATGGGAGGAAGAAGACGGGGATTTGTGAAAGCTGACATGTGGATGGATGAGGATAGAAGAAGAGGCAGAAGTGACTAGGGAATGGATGGATGAGGGGTAGCACTATGGATGGGTGGTGAGTGTGTTGAGTGGGGCACCAGATCCTAGAGCCTCTCCATGAGATGAGGGTGACAACTGAGGCTTGGGAGCCCAGGCAATTATGACATTCAGAACCACCGAGTCCCTGGTGCCAGTCCCAGTCCACTGCAAACCATTTCAAGAGAAACTCCACAGCCTGGACAAGGCTTTCTGTCCCCAGAACTCCTGCCCTTGACCTGGGGCATGCTCAAACCACAGCAAAACTTGACAGATGCTTGGTTACCCAGCCTGCCTCCACTTCTGGGAAGCTGAGTAGGAACCTTCCAACAGTGAATATCCAAACGTGGCATGCATATGGGTCACCCGGTGGGCGTGTTAAAATGCACATGGATTCAGCAAGCCTGGAGTGGTACCTGAGAGCCTCTATTTGTAACAGCTCTCAGGCAAATGTGGCTACCATCCTCAGGTGGCCCACGCTATCTCCAGAATCTGGCCATGTTCTCTCCTCAAGGTCCTCAATGATCCCCCAGAAACCCTTGCACCCCAGTCCCCAGCTCTCCAACCAGCTGCCTGCCCCAGCCTCAGCCTGGTCCTTCCTCTTCCAGGCTGCTCTGTTTGACAAGTCTCTTTGCAGATTCCAAATAAAAGACAGAGCACATTCCCTTCAGTCAACACGCTTGGCTACAAGAGGTCAGTGGCTCCTGAGCTGTACAGAGAGAGGCCCTTGATCCCCTTTTACAAATGTGGAGAGAAGGCTGGGAAGGTGATGAGGCCTGCCCAAAGTGAAACTGGCACACTGTAGCTGGGTCCCACCAAGTATCCCTAGCTTTCTACAGTCCAGTACTTCTCTTGAAGAAAGGGTCAGAGTGGCAGACAAGAGGGAACAGGCTGGCAAGCTGTGCATGCATGTAGACATGTGTAGTCTGTGTGCACATGTGCATGCATGCGTCTCTGTGCACGTGCCTGCAGACATGTATGTGCACATGTGTCAGTGGAGGTGCATGTGTGTGGGTGTGGGTGTGCACATGGAATGGGCACTGGAGGAAACAGAACAGCTCCCTCACACAGCATTTACTCATGGCCACCACTTCCTCCAGTGTGGCCCACACTGCTCCTTATCACTATGATGTCCCCACAGGGAGACGCCTGCTGTGACAGTTACTGAGCGCAGTGCTCCATCTGGACATGGACTCCTGAAGGGCTGCACTTCCCTCCTCCTTCCCAGCCCATCCTATTGTGAGTCATGGCATCCTTGCCTGGGCTCCGTGGGTCACTCCACACAATCAACCGTGTAGAGCAATGGGTTCCAAGTACCTTCTAGCCGGAAGTCCTCCTCCTCCTCCTCGCTGAGTGCTTCTCTGAAAATGTCGCCTGTGAGTTCCTAGGGAAAACAAGGCAGGACATTAGGGGACAGGCAGGAGCTACCTTTCTGGACACAAGAGGGGTGGTGAAGACTCAAATTCCAGTCCTCTGAGGGGTGAGATGTCTGGGATTGGCCTGGAGCACATGACAAGTTAGCCACACCTGTGCTTTGCAGAAAGAGGCTTCTCAGTCTCCTGTCCACCAGGAAACTTCCCAGGACACCATGGCTCACTTCCTCTGACAAGGTGTCCCTTTCCCCTCCAGAGCTGCCATGCAAAATCAGAGGGTGTCCTTGCCCATCCCACTCAGACAGCCGGTCCTCCCGCCTGTCACGTGACCCACATGCCTAGAGCAAGATTTGCACACACTGGCTGCCACTGGTCCTTACTTGTGTCATGCCTCAGGTCACGAGCATGACCCTGCCCATGCCTTGCTGTTTCCTTCAGAACATTCAAGATATCTGGAATGGCACCCACACGGCAGGCTCCTCATGACCAGCCAATTGTTGTCATTCAGAGCTGTCAGGTGGCCTGCAGGGGTCCATTGGTCCACAGGGTAAGAAATATTTGGGGTGTCAACAGTCTAAGGCCCCATCTATCTGACCTATCCCAGCAGGATGACTGTAGCTATGGAAGAAGCCAGACCAGGGCTTGTCAAACTAGCTTCTGTATTTATTGGTATTCTGCCAAAAAGAGTCTCGTGATCAAAGAAAAATGTTTTAGACAAAGTTAAACAAGGCCCTTCCTGTAGGACTTATCCTCTTGTCGGGGACAGATGAGACTTAGGGGGTTATGCCACTTTGTCTCTACTAATGCCCACAGTAATGCTGACAGTGCTTCTCAAACCCATAAAATGACAGGTAACAAAAAGCCCCAATGCAGCAGCTGTCACCAACTTCCCTTTGTAAAAAGAAAAAGTCTTCTCCTTGGGGAAAAAAAAAAAATCCTGCACCTTAGATGCTTAAAGAAAAGCCAGGCCTGCCTCCTGCACCAGAGAGACAGAGTTGTGCCCAGCTGACCATGCTCACCGGCCACGGCTGGAGGTCAGCTTCCTGTTCTCTGGTTTTTTGTTTTGTTTTGTTTTAAAGACAAACAGCTCACATTCTGTGGATGAGGACAGATTCACTCTGTTCTCCTTTCAAATCACTCTAGGGCATGGCCCTCTTTCTCAATGGTGGTTAAAACGTGACCATCCAGGCTCCTGGTGCCCCACTTACTTCAAAACCAGGCTACTTTCTTCACTCTCCTCCTCTGCCAATTATTATAATCACTGAACATTTCCTCTCCTTGTAAACTGGCTGTTTGTGTTAACAGAGTCGGAGTTGACAGAGAGGCTGGGAGATGGTGACAGGAAAGAAACGCACACATAGGTAGCATCCTCAAATGGCTGGGACACCCCAGCAGCCAATTAAAGCCTGGCTTTAATGCTGGGGAGAGAGAGATGGCTGCTGCCTCCCCTAAAAGACATGCTGGCAGCACTTCCTCTGGGAGTATTGACAAGCTTCAAGGGCACCGCACAGACCCTCCATGCTGGATCCTTTGCAGAGAGGACCTCTGTTGACCTTGTCTGCTGCCCTGACCATGCCACCAGCACCAACGGCCTGTAGAAGCTCTGCGTCTTTTTATTGGCACACTCGGTGGAGGAAAGAGTCCAAATGTCACTCCTGCCAGGGCAGCAGTGGGGACCCTATACCGATACCACATGTGCTACACCTCCACCATGGCAGCTCCAGTGCGCTCAGCTGGGAGGACCACGCTCTCATAAAGCAGAGTTCTAGCAAGTTCTGGGCCCAGCCACTTACTGCTGAATAGTACCTGCTCTGTACACTGTGAGCGCTCCTTGGTACATGACTCCCTGAGCTGTGTCCACTGCAGCAGAAAGCCACCTTGTCCACTGAGCCATACAGCCCTGGGTCTGCAGTATGCAGGGCCCACGGTCCTCATGGTGAGGTCACTAGACCCAGAGGAAACATGTTGTCCCAGTTCCAGGGCCTCCCTTGTACTTGGACCTTAGTTTACTTATCTATAAAATGGGCCCAGGAGTAACCCACAGCACAATAAAACAACTGACTCTCACTGTGCATTTCCTGAGGGCCAGGCACCATGCTGGGCAATCAGTGCATCAAACAGACTCCTCCAATTATCACAACAGCCCCACTCTGTTCACCTCTCAAGGAATAAACTATTTACAAGTTGTAAAGGAAAAGATATAATCATTATCATTTCTATATACAGAAAGGGGTCCCAATCCTCAAGTACCATGCAACAGGAAAGCCAGACTACTGACAACTACCAACTACTCCTGGTGCCTAGGTGCTGTGGATGGGACCTCACGAGGACCTCCATAGAAAGGTCCTGACAGCCGTGGGTGTAAATGAAGAAGAAGCCCCAAGAGGCCAGGCAGCTCACTCCAGTCAGTCAGCTGGTGGGGGCAAAGCTAAGTTCCAGGCCAGCTCCTCAGAAGCCTAGCTCAAGGTCAGACAGTGGAAGCAGTATCTTTGTGAATATGGGAGTCAAGAAGAACAGGAGGACATGCTTTAAAAAGTGCAAGGAAAATGGCCTGGCCAGCAGCCCCAGTGGGCAGAGGGCAAGTACTCCCTCTGTGCAATAGGCTTCCGAGGCCCCCACTGTTCCCTTATGGTGTAGGGACTTGATCCATCCTCCAGCCAAGCCCCGAATGTGAGCCTGCATTGCAAGGCCCAGTGGCCAGGCCCTTGCATCATCCTGCAAGGAGGCACTTCTGGGAGCCAGGACCTGACCCCTCGGCAGCTGTGAGCCCCATGAGAACTGTGTGCAAAGGCTATGGAACTGGAACCTTGCAGACCTTGTGCCAATGCGGACTCTGCATCGCACAGATGGCATCCCTGGCTGAAGGAACTCTACCTCCTATGCCCCTCGGTATCCCATCTAAATATGGGACTAAAAACTCTGTGACATCTCAGGGTAGCTGCGAGGAGCACAGAAGCCAGTGCCCAGCCAAGTGCTCAGCCTTGTACCTGATGTGAGTGGGGCCTGACAGATCAGTAGTTACTGCTTCTGCTACCATTATTATCAAATTGCTGGGAGGCACTGAGAGACTCACGAGCCCCCAGAAACACTCACAGAATCCCAGGGACACAGTCCCAGTCTGCCCAGCACACTGTCTTCAGTGCTTTGTAATCTTCATGACATCACTGTGAGGTACTCCACAGGACTGTCATATTATGCCTACTTTACAGATGAGAAAACCAAGGCACAGAGTGGTTAAGGAACTAGCCAGAGGTCACACAGTAAGTGCCAGAGTCCACACCCTTCCTTACAAGAAGCTTACATGAGGGGTTGGTGAGGGGCTGTGACCACTCTTCATGGGCTCTTTCATTTCCATCATGCTGGCCCCCAGGCTCCTACTGACTTCCAGAACTGACAACCTCAGCCTCTGCTCCAAGTTCTGATTAAAGACTTTCTAGGTCCCCAGAACCTTAGCCCAGGGGCCTGGCTTGGTAGTCTCTTGAGACACATGGTCTAGACATGCCTCCCTCCCAAGTCTTATACTGGGTCCCAGGAGGGAGGCCAGCTCCTCTGGGCACTGGGTGTGCGGCCAGCACCAGCTCCGAGACCAGAATCGCAAAGCACAAAGCCTTATAAGGCCTCCGGGATGGGAAAACCACATCAAAGCAGGGCCTTGGGGAGCTGGCTGGCGTGGGCTGAGGATTTTCCTTTTTGTCTTTGAGACGTCATACTCCTAAACTTGGCCTCTCCCCCTACCCAGTGTCCCAGCAGGTCTGTACCAATCTTTCTGTTCTCTAAGGGCTGCCGTGAGGTTTCAAAGCCAACTCCTGGTGCCCATGGAACCAGGCGCGACATACAGATTCCAGGATGCATAGCACTGAGATGCTCAGAAGGGCAGAACACAGGCCAGCCCACAACTCTTGGACCCAAGCAGCCTGCCTAGAGTTGCCTCAAGAAAAGCCAGGCAAGCTCTCTCTCCCCAGCCCAGCCAGGCCTTCCAGGGCCTCTGTCCCATCTTGGGATACAGGGCAGGGATGTTTTGTTCCCCAGCACCCAGGTAGACCTGGCCTGGGGCCCTGGACACCCTTGGCAACTGAGTGGCAGCAACGCCACTACTTACTTCTCTGGTCTCATTTTTTCCTTCTGTAAAGTAGGGATTTAGATGTCAAAAGGGACAGAAAGAAGATGTGTAGAAAATGCCCAAGTGGCATTTGGTACAAAGTTGGGGGGCACTAAACACTGACTTATCATCCTTGTGTAGTGTTTTTCTCCAACATGTGCTGGGGGACATCTCATAGTTCATCCTTAAAATCACCTAAGATCAAACAGTCCAAACTCTCAGTGTCCACCCTGGAACCAAACTCACAGGTGCAATCCCAGGTCCATTCAAGTTCTGTAGGATTGAGGGCAAGGTGGTTCTGGCCAGCAGTCAGAACAGCAGTCAGAACCACCCTGCAGGCCAGCAGAGGATTCTGCACTGGCTCTGCATAGGGGGACACCACCACACAGTGGTTCAAAGAACGAGCCTGACCTGTCTACCCTGTAGTGCAGGAAGACAGGAGGAGCAAAAGAGCAACTATGGGGGGTTCAGCAAAGCTACCCATACAACTAGGAAACACCAAACACTCAAGGGAACATGAGGCTACTTGTACACAGGGGGATGCATGGAAAAAGATGCCCAGTGTCAACTGCAGGGAGAGGAAGGAGGCCAAAGAAGCAGAGGGCCTGTAGTCAGAAACCTCAGCCTTATCAGAATTGTTCTCACGCTCAACAGAGAGGATAGTGTCCTTCCATGTCCACAAAGCATGGATTCCAGGACCTCCCTGAGAGATACAAATCCAGGATACTCAAGACCCTTACATAAAATGGCATAGTATTTGCATAGAACCTACACAACACCCCCCCCACCCACACACACACACATTTCCTCCCCTAGACTTTAACTCATCTCTGGACTATTTATAATATCCACCATAGTGTGAACAATAGCTGTATCATTTAGGGAATGATGACAAGAAAAACAAGTGTGTAC